CGGTGTAAGTAAACAATCTTTAAAACTACCACTACGCGTTTGTGCCTAATTCCAGCTCGACGGCCTTCCCTCTCCAACCCGGCGTGCCCGGGCTGCTGGCCACAGCCCGCGTGCAGCGCGAAAAAGGGCTCGGGTCGCTCCCGGCCCGCACATGACCGAGAGAGAAATTTTAGTATAATTAAAATTTATTTTAATTATTCAAAATAAATAAAAACTTGTTTTAATTATAAATAATTAAAATACTAGTAGTTCTTAGGTACATCTATCACAACAGAGCAACAGACAGCGAAGAACGATGACTGTATCTACCAGTTTAAACAATGTATATAGGCAATGGCCAAAAGATTATTTGAAAGACACTCCTCTTCCAATAACACACATCATCCCCTTAGCAAAGGCACTCAGCACAAAATGTGCACAGTTCTAGCAGAGCTTAAAAGCTTCATGATGAACTAATTAGGAAATTAAAATGACATGATCTATGTCTGCTCACACCCATGCAGATACACCATTTCATACTTATTTCTTATTACCCCACATAGCATTTAACTCCGTCTTGATAAAATTAATTAGAAAAGTTAAATCAGATCCTTTAAAACACTGTGCTACTTCAATTCTTACACACTTCCCTAGATTCAGAGACGTCTCAGCATCTCCTAGAATGAAGCTCTGTTTCACTGAACTACATCTTTAAAAAAAATGTAGAAATATTGATCAAACTGATGACCCAGGGCTGTGTAACTGAAATCATGAACCTGATCATGTTTCTATCCAGGTACTAAGAAAAAGTCTCATACTATCCAAGTACAATTATCTGCCCAAGTAGGATAAATCCTCAATAGTTTCAGGGTGCCAAACTGCATTAGCATCCAAATTGCAGACCTGTTATTAGAATCTACTTTTTGAGTATGATGTGTGCCTGATCTGAGTCCTGACCGAGTTTTGGGAGGAGTCTATCTAGCTAGAGTGTAATCCACCTCTATTCATATTTTTATATAAAGAAAGAGAGAAAAGTTGTTATTCACCTTCAGCCTAGGGACCATGCAGAATGTTAGACAAGGATTATTTTTTTTTCCAGATCATCATTACAAGCATCATTTTCTCCAGTTTAATTATTTTCAGATTCCCTCATCTATACCCTTGCCAGTGTCCCCACGAGAATAAAAAGCAAGCAGTTTTACAAGCTCCCACCTATTTAACTCCCTAACTAGCCACCAGAATAGGCAGTTGTTCTTCTATCACTTCAATATAATTAGTTCCACTTTTCAAGGGGCAACTAGTCTCTGATCTGCTCCTAAACTTAGTTTTCCTGCATGACCACACAGAGCACAGTCACTGTTCCAGCAAATTAGCACCTGTCTGCACAGTTTTATACAATCTCCTATAAATGTCAAATCCATCCAATCTTGCCTTTCTGTTTTGCTTGCATCAGATTTCCATATCTTAAACGTAGCAAAACTTACTACGTGTGCACTATTTACCATGACAGGAAACATCATGCCATAAATAAAATAGCACTGCCACCACTGTGCTCTGCTTCAAAACAGGGACAGTTCCTATACTCCATTTCTAGCAATTGTAATACTTGTATTTTTATGAAACCGGGATGCATTAAGAGTGAAACACCTCAGGTATTCAACATAATTCTGTTTTATATGGGTGAATTAGGATTCAATTATTAATCAATTTTGACCTCCGCACCTCCCAACAGGCTCTCAAACCTAATGAGGAGAGGAAAGCAGGAAATTATTGATTGAAGTTAATGTAGCTTCCTCTCAGATCCTGAATTCTGGGTTAAATAAAATCAATTGATGCCTAAATGAAAGACATGTTAAGTATCATGTATGAACGTTACATCAAGATGGAGTAGAGAACACTGAAACGAATACTTGAAAAAGAAAATACTATGGGTTAATTAGTAAAATGATGTCTATGCCTAAGATGTGTCAAAGAACTCTATAAAATGGCAAGAAAAAACTTATATGAAGGATTATTTTTCTAAAGAAGCTGATTTAAAAAAAAAAAAGATTTAATTCCTGATGGTTATATATAGGTTATATATTCCTGATGGTTATATAAATATTAATACTTTATTAATATCCTATAGAAAATGACAAGTTTTCAAGACTGGACTCATATTTTAGCACTTCAGTGAAAGGTATTTCATATGGTAAAGAATAATAACAAAATGCAAGTGGAATTTTGCTTTTAATTACTGACCTGACCTCACAGTAATACACCTTGTAAAGTACAATACTGTACATACATAACTAGTAGGCTGCATTTCTGCCTCTCCTATAACTTCCAATATTTAAACTGTTCGTATTTGGACTATACATGGGTTAGTTACGCTGATGACAATACAGATTGCTTTATCTTATGAAAGTGATGTTATGACCTGCTTCTGCAAATTATGATCTAAAAAAAGAGCATCTATTGTTTACCACTGACTAGAAAATGGAAAAGAACATAACTGTGTAAATATTGTATCATACAACCACTTCTCTTGCATTTATGGGAATAAAACTGCACCTCAACCAGATATTCCTACGGTTAGGTAGCTGTCAGGTCCAACAGGAAAATAATCTGTATAAGGATCAGGCTTGAGAACAGAGGGAACCCTGACACCATTTTTTCAAGCTACACTAGAAAATTACTACAATTAAGTGAATGACTAGAAGACAGTAAATCCAAGTTCCTCATGCAAGCTGAATATCTCCAAAAAAACCCCAAACAAAACCAAACAAAAAACTCCCAAAAAAACCTACCTTTGCCCTTTACGTTCTACGGAGAATAAATCCTGAACTGCGCATGTTTATTTTTAAAAGAGCTTCCAGCTTCCTGGTGTTTGAACCCGCCTGCCTCATTTCTTACGAAAGGACACTAGTTAATATATCACTGGAAATCAGAACTGATTTTGGTAATCAACTCTCAGGACATTCTCTAAAAGCAATCTCAACAAGTGCAATTTCAGACAATGCTTGTCAAGTTTAAGAGTCCTTAAATTACCCACTCTATTTTCCATAATATTTGACACTCAGAATTCAGTCCTTCAGAAAATTTATAGTATAACTGGATATACACAAGAATGATACTCAACATGAAATAGTGAGCAAACTGTAGGTGGATACCGTGGAATCTATTACCAAGACCTTACATCGTTAACTTTATTAAAGAATTCAACAAGGGCTCTCTCTTATCAGACGTTTCCATAGTCTTACATTGTGTCTTCTTAACTACTGCTTGGTCATTGTGACCTTCAGTGCCTTATACTAATTATTAAAGATCTGAAGTCTTAATCAGTTCCCTTTACTTCACAAACTGTCCCATTAAAACCCATAAGATTCAAAGAACAAAGCCAGAGCAATCAAGCTGTTGATGTAATGAACTTATCAAAAATGCTTCTGAAAAAATATTATTACAGATTGTTATTTTTAATTTCTGATGTAGGAAGCAGAAAATCAAGTAGATGAATTACCAGTAAGTTCTTGAGATCAGTAATAAAGTTCAAGGCCTTTCACCAGTAAGTGTGGCAAAAACGTACCATATGCCTCCTTCATAAGAAAGTCCTTATTAGGCATTTTGGATGGAAAGAATGCTACAGTATAGCCTCATAAATCCGAGTATCAAACATCCAGAATTATTGAAAATCTGGAACTTTTTAAAACTACACTCCATCAGAGAGTAGCAGCGGCTAGTCCCGGAGCAGCGGAAGGGGGAAACTTGCATACCGCCACCATCCACCACCCTGCACCGCCGCTCCATGTGCAGCTACTGCTCCAGGACCAGCCACCACTACCCAACCCCTTTCCCTGCCACTCCAGTTTTAAAAATCCAGAATTTTCACATTTCTGGAAGGTGCTCGGTCCTGAGCATGCTGGATTCATGAAGTTATACTATATTTAATATAATGAACGGGGAGAAGTTTCTACAGGATGAAAAAGACATTTATAACTATTGATCTTTTCCCTCCATGTAGGAAGCAAAGGAATTCTTACAATGCTTCCAGTTATCACATTCCTTAAACATCTTATAGGTTTTCAAAGGGTTTTTTTTACCTTCTTCAATCCCGAATCCAAGCAAACGTGGACTTCCACTGTCCCTAACTGCATTCTGTAAACCAAGGCTGTCCAAAGGGTGGCCTGCAAGGTGGTTAACACGCAACCCATCAGTCCCTGCAGTCACACATCTCCCACTGCCGTGCAGTAGAGGGCAGAGAGGTGAGATATCATGGAAGGGGGCTGGGGGAGAGGGGCAAACAGCCTGCTGTAAGCAAAAGGAATGTGTCTTAAAAGAGTGCTGCAGGTATTGCCTTTAAGTAAGAGTATAAAGCCTAAACTTTATATTTTTAGGAGTAATTAAAGTGCTACAGTTAACAGATCCCATTAGGACTATGAAGGGAAAAATGAACTGCAAGAAGTAACATACAGATAGTTTGTAGCTTTTGTTTTTAGCTAATGACTTGACCACTTAATTTCAAATGTAAAGGATTACAGAATGCATATGCTTTCTTTGGCTGTACAAAAATGGTCTAACCTCTTACAATAGACTGTCTCAAAAATTATAACAGGGACAGAACTGCTCTACAGAGTAGTAACAATAGTGAAAGCAAAATATAAAAATAGAATATATGCAATGTCCTATATTTAGCTTTGTGGGTAGGCACTGAAATCCACTTTGAGATGTCTTCTTTGATCGGCAGTGGGTGAGAACAAATTCTAATGCAGTGGTAGGGAATTCTCAGCAATAATTTTATTTGAGGACCCAAACTATTATGCAAGTCATTTTTCAAAGGCAATCCATGAATTTATTACATCTCCATATTGAAGAATCTTTCTTTTGTTGTTGTTAAGAGTCTGGATCAAAACCCAACATTTTATGTCAACTATTTTTAGCAGGAGTCTTATTTCATTTTTCCTAACTGTAATATGAAAGCTTACCAATAAGTTTACATCATCAGACTTACAAGGAAGACTGAACCATTGCTAATGTCTTTCTTAGTTGTAACACAGCAGTTTGCTTGATTCAGAAAATGATTTCAAAATGAGATATTTTCATGCATCCTCTACATCAGCATTTTTGCAGGCTGTACACTGCCACTGCATCTGCAGTGAATCATACAGAACAATAATTTTAGGAGAAAGGAATACTATGTATGTAAACTGTATATAGACACTAGATTTCAATTATATTATTAGCTATTTTTTCCCCAAAACACACCGACTTTCACGCAGATGCAGTCACATTTACCTTATGGAGGCATTAAACCTCTGGGGCTATTTTTCAGCAAGCATATCTTTGATTTCATAAAGAATTAGAAAGGAATAAGAAACCCTAGCTATTTCATGGGCTATACTGTCATTCATAGTATACTAATATAATACCATTAGCATCTCAATTGCATCCCCAGCCTAACATGGTCACTAGAAAGAGCCAACTGATTGACTGTCCTCTGAAAAGATTTATGCTATTAATGAGTAATGCTCTGTTTTAGGGATTTCAATTCCGGGAAAAAACTAATCTTGCTGATACATGTAAAGGTGTCTGAATTGTACACTTTGGCATCTGAATAAACACAGAAACTTGATACCCAATCTTGTGTTGCCCAAAACTGATTGAATGGATCTTTGCCTCTTACCATCCACGCAGGCTGGCCTTGCTCTTGTTGTACCGGCAATCTGTCCTTTTTTACATGCACAGCGAGCTGTTTGTCGGGCTATAGTCCTTCGGGGCTGACTGCTATCTCTGTCCAAAGTAACAATCTCACATGTACCTGCAGCCAGTTGACCTGGAAAAAGAACCAGCAACAGGTACCAGAGTCACTGAATGCTCTACAGGCAATCTATTACAGCTGAATAGAGTCATGGCCCAATGTCAGAGTAGACACTTCACAACAAATGAGAAGCCAGCTGATGGATATAATAAAGTTGAGATGACATACAATTTTTCTTTGTGGTGGACATATGAAAACCTTGCAAACTGATTCTGTCAGAAAATGGTTATTGTTCTATAAAAGCAGGAGAGCTAGGGTCAAATGGGTTACTTTTACTTTTATGTGGGCTGGTGTAAAGGAACAACCCATTTTTTGCAGTAAAGAAATTAAATGTGGCACTGTCTGTACACTTGTAGAGAAGAAATGTGCCAAAATACAAAAGACGAAGAAAAATGTGAAATATCTGACAATAACGTCCTTCTTAAAGGAGCCACGCTTGTAAATCTAAGTTGTCATTTTTTAAGATGTCGTTTTATAACAAAACATTGGAATGTTTGAACAGATTTTCATTCAGTCCTTAATTTTTGCACCTCTTCATCTAAATACAGTTCAAATACACTTATGTACATATTTCTCATTACAAATTAGCTAAGGACCCTTTAAATGTTAAACATGCCATCAGCTTGCAAACCATAGCTGGAAAACCTTATTTTATAGTTAAGTATTATTGCTTCTTTTGACCTATGTTGCTTTCCCAAACATTTCAGATTTGATTGACGCTCTAGACCAGAAATATACAGAAAACCTTTTTGGTGAATATTGTGCCAAAAGTGAAACTTGTACATTTAAAATAAGGCATTTCTTTTGAAAATGTGAATTGTCCAGCCAATAAAAAAGTAACTGTCAATTTGTCTGAGCAAGAAATATGTACTATGGATATTACATTGGTTAATAAAATTAAAAAACAGGCCATCACTCTTAACTGAGCTGGTAATATTGTTTATCTCATCTAGAATTTATATGGCACAAGATATCACTTTTATTGAGGCCTGTACCTGTTTGCAATCAATTACAACCATTATGTGAACATGTGAAAAAAATATGCTTAAAATTACAAACTAACTACATCTAGTTCTCATAAAATTTCAAGCATGGAATAAATGTTGATGTGGTGATTATAAAGACGGACTGCAGTTTGAACAATATTTGTGGTGAACTGGTTTTAGGACTACTGAAAACTTAAAATCTTTCTTGTTTGGAGGGTTTTATGGTGTAAGCTATACATCTGGGCAAGCAGTTAAAGTACAGCAAAATCTAATCTTTAAACTACTAAATATTCCCCAAATCAAATCCTTTATTTCATAGAAAAGACAGCAGAAAGCAATTAAATATACATTCCAAGGAAGTAAAGTCAGAACATGATTGAAATAATATTACCATAAACTGTATTTTTTTATTCCGCACATAATACAATTTTTACCCAGCAGATTCTTGCCCAGCATATTCTTATGATATTTCCCATTCCCTCAGGAAATGTGAGTATATTTTTTAAATTGTCAGAGGAGCGAACATTGATGGCTACCATCCAGCTATAGGGACCGATTCATTACTGAGTCACTTATGCTTTATGTTTCTATAACTTCACAATTTCAATAGTTTATACCTGTGTAAAACTGAAATAAGACTGTGACAAAATCAGGACTATACATTCTAAAGATTTCTACATATTTATAGACATCTTTTTAGAGGTTTTGAAAAGCAACTGTCACCATGGTAATTAATGTCTATCGGGGGATTATACCAGCATATACCTTAGCAGAACTTCTGAATCTCCTGTTTCTCCCCTTCCTGTTTACAAGATGTCATGCATAAAGTGCACACATTTGTTTTTAATTATTCCTTTTATTTTTTCTGCTTCTTTTCTTTCCCTCAAACATGACTCCAGTTAGTCATGGAAGTGTTATCAAAATATATGGAAATCATTTTCCTCCATAGAAAACTTTTAAACAGAGCAGGATTTCTTTCCATATCTCAAATGCCTCATCCTGGCCTCTAGTATTTGCAATATCCCAGAGGAACATAGCTGCCTTAATGTGTTATCTGTAGAGGTGCAATCATTGATGTATCTGGATTGTGATGGCCTATGGTCTTTTAACATCATGACTAAGACCTTGCAGTAGCAACTAAGATAGAACTGTAATCAGCGGAGAGGTTGAAGCAGAAAACAGGAATGTTCATAGTAGCCCATCCAACTGAGAAAGCAGCACAGTGGATCTTGCTGAAATAATAGGAATTTAGGAATTTCAACATTAATTCTACCTTTAGCTCAAGATATAGAAGATTACTATAACCAAGTAATGACTGCCAAAACTATGTCTGGGACAAAAGTAAAAAGTCTCTTTGCAAGCTGAAGACGAAAGAAGGCTACCTGGCGTTTTAAATTAATATAAGTATTAAAAAGGACCATGAGGCTTTTTTGAACTAGGATAAAATCAAAGCAAACACCTTCCATGGGTTGTAGGCCATCTATGGTTTTAAGAAACATTTCTCCTTTTCAAAAAAAACAACATCGTTTTGGTCTTGCTCAGGTTCACTTTGTACCAGCTATTTTTCTTTTATAAAGGTGATGTTCTCCTCTAGGCACTATGCCATCTTTCTGTTATTACAGTCTATGGAAATACACGAAATGTATAATTGGTTGTCAAATAGTAGGTGTACTGCTGTAAGCAGAGTTTGTGTTTCCACAGGGCTTCCTGAAGCAGAGGGAAAAAAAAGAAAGATTCTTCCATGGATGAGGGATTTTGGAGAAAGAGACACCGGGTTTTGGTTTTTTTTATTGGCATTATCTGCTCCTGCCAGAAAGGAAGCTAATCAGCAACACATTTTGTTCAATTGGGTCAAAGGCTGCAGGGAGAAAAGCAAGTAGACTGAAGGCAGAGAATGGTCTCCATCCATTCGTATTTGCATGTTAGTGCTTTCTCTGATTGTGAGGTGTAAAGGATATTAGCAGAGATCAAGCAATATTCAAGCCAAACTAATAATTTTATCTAGGGATATAATGGTGAAAATGGTGCAGTAGGGAAGACCTTCCTTATACATCAAGTATATATATAAGTATCTTTAAGTGATATTGGTGAATATTGCATTTCTCAGGGATGTTAGCATTGGTACTATGCTGAAAGAAATTGATAGTCAGAAAGATACTGCATCAGTACAAAAGATAGGTGTCCCAGGCAAATCTTGAGTACTTCTGCAGACAGCAACTCCCTACCATCTGGTCCCAAGAGAAAAGCATGGATAAACTGCTAAAAGCATCGTCCTAGAATCTTGTTTTTCTGTATGCTCTTCTGAAGACTTTCTTTTCCTAGAGGGAGAGGTCTACCTGCATTATTTACTGTATGGATTGTAAAGGCTCTTACTAAGCCATAATTATCTGCTTTATGTGTCTTTCTGCTTCAAGGTTGGTAGGGAGAAGTGGGGGGAATGTTTTCTTTTGCTGCTCTGATTTTATTTTAACTAAAAGCAAAGATGGAAGCTATTTGATTTTTTTTCTGGTCTTGTGGTTACTAAACAATACAAACAGGTATAAACGAATATCTGCCTTTTGTCATTTTGTACTCTGTTCCTGTAAAACACTATACTTGCATACACACTACATGCACACAGAAGGGAAAAATAAAAGAAATCAAAAGGGTTTTGAATTAAGATGACACTAAATAAATATATGACCTGTTTATATATACGTGTACACACGTATGCATATATACATGTAGGTAGTGTATACGTATATAAGTGTGTCTGTGTGTGTTTATTTAGAATTACCATTAATATCAACTAACGGTTGAAAAAAGAAAAATTCTCTTCTCCCCCTACCCTTATGTAATAGTAGATATGTATGACACAGAGCTCTAACTTATACTGTTGGTGCATCTATATATGCAATTACTATGACACACATTCCAGCGCAGATCACACCAGAGTCAGCTGCTCCGAAGCACGGCATCTGTACGTGCATCCAGACCGCAGGAGTTTGAATCAGGACGGAGCAGCCCCAGGCTGGCAGGAGGTCTGGCGGGACAGCCCCAGGCTCTGGGTGGTGGCACTAAGTGGCTGAAAAGCTGATTGGGGCATGAGGGTGCTACAGTGTGCGGCAAGGAGGCAGGCAGTCGCCGCACTGTAGCACCCTTGTGCCCCAGCCTCAGATTGCACCCTCATGCCACACCCTCATGCCCCAGTCCCAGGTCACTGTCTACACGTGTGTTTAGGTGCAGTTATTTTTGCCACTGTAGGACAGTACTGTCCCTGACAACACTATCTTACAGCAGTGAAAAGTACTCTACTGTCAACTAATAGCATTGCACATGTAGACTGTGATGCTTTACACCACAGCAAATTAGTCTACTGCTCAGTTAAGCACATGTGTAGATGCACCCAGTCATAATGGACAGAACCAAGCTTTTGTAATATGTTTGCTGTCCTTCGTATCATATCCTCCAAAACGCATTACATTAATTGCACATGTAGAGTTTCCAGGATGATCCATTTAATTCTAGTTTTCTTGGAGAATACCATTTCTCTTCTCTGCTACAAAATAAAACATTCCAGTTAAAGAAGGTCTGCTCTGATTACAACAAATGTAATATAGTTATTATGAGTTTCTAACTTATGCATGCTGAAAAGCTGAGGACTTCATTTATCCCCGTCTAAAAAGCAGGAATACAGGTTAAGAAAAAAAAAAAATCACATGCAGAAAACACCAGGAGCTTCCAGTACAATACAAATAAAACCTAATCTAAAAGGATGGCTTTTTACCAGGGTGTTAGCGTCCATATTCATCCAGAAACTTTACTCCTGAATTGCTCATGCAGGCTCATACTGTAGTCTCACTGAATAATTTTTTCATGCACCACTAATCTGATGCCTAGCAACACAAGCTCTTTTTAGTTCAAAATGCATAAAGGTAGATGTTATTAAAAATCTTGGCTAGATCCAGCCACTGTTTTGTGATTGAACACAATAAGGAAGTTGTTTCAAAATCGGATTTTAGGAATAAACTCTCTGGTTTTCTATTGAAA